CGTCCCGGGCCCCGGCCACAACCCCTTGCCGGGCCCGGCCATGAAGTGTCACTATGAGGCGCTGGGGGTGCGGCGCGACGCCAGCGAGGAGGAGCTCAAGAAGGCCTATCGGAAGCTGGCCCTGAAATGGCACCCGGGTAGGTTACCGCCCCGCAACCGCCGCGGCGCTGGGAAAAGCCGGGCGACCTTTCTCACCCCGTCCCGCGTGACACCGGGAGGCTGGCGGGCGCGACCTACCTGCCGCTGGGCCAGGTGGCAGCGCGCAGTCTGCCCATCCTGCGGTGGACGCCCCTCTCCTTCCCGCATTGCCCGTGTTTGGGAAGCCCACACTCCGGCGACTTCACCTGCCCTCTCGCAAGTTCTGCTCAGAACCTCTGGGTTCTGCCCTGCCCTGGAAGGAGTCGGCCTGGCAAGCCTCCGCCCTGCCGGTCCTGCTGGCCCAGCCTCCGGCGATCCTCCCTCAGCTGCCCCGAACTCGGCTGGGGAACCCCAGCTGCTTAGAGCTCACCTAGGGCTCCTTTCTTCCTGAAGTGAAGACCGGGGACCCGTAGGATGTCTTAGAAAGGGATGCCTGAGTTTTTTTCTTTTAGTGGGCTGCTTAAACACACCCTGTGAATTGGACATTTGTCTTCAGATGAAGAGTTCTAATCACGTGTCTTCCATAATGAAGTTTTTGTATGTTCACTTTGACATGCGCCTTCTTTTGGATATTTTGTTTGTATCCAGGCCTGTGCGACTTTTCTGAAGTAATCTGATCTTCCAGACTGGGTCACTAAGACCATAGTTGACTCTCCGCTTTTGGGGAGTTTTAATAAGAGGCTTTTATTTTAACCATTAATAAATAAACAGAGACTCCAATATATGCAAGTCACCGCATATATTATTATGAAATGCCACGGCAGGAATTTCACAGTCTAGTTGGGAAAACATTCCTCACACACATTAAGAGTTAACTACAAGTGCAAAGGAAAAATAGCACAACATACGTAACAGAAAAACTAGTAAATGCCCAGAAATTCAAGGAGGGAGTTATCACTATGTACTGATAGATGCTGAGGTTTTCCCTCTTTATAGAAACTTTGATTGGGTCCTGGAAGAATGGAATGTGGAAAAATGAACTAACAAGGATGGGAAGAACTTTAGTGGTGGGCAAAAGATCTTCCAGCAAGGGGTTTAGCAAAGGCAGTGTTTATAGAAAGAAGGAAAAATAAGGATTGGTAAGAGCTGAAGAAATACTGGGGAGCAGAGTCAGAAGGGAATGTCTGTAGTTGATGGAATAAGAAATAGGGTTATTAGCATGTTACTCAATTAATAGTAATTACCAAGAGAGGAACTAAAAAATATATACATATATTGGAAGGACAGAAATAAGTGAACTAAATGTTCATCATAGCAGGAAGTAAAAGACAGGCAAAATTAATAAATCCAAAAATAGTGTAAAAATAGTAGAAGTGTATTGGCAGAATGACAGGTAACTATCATTACCTGTTTTACTAAGATATTTTGGTAGGATACTATGAAGGCACTGAGTGATTTATATAGGCTAGCGAGGTCAGGGAACAACTAAGGAGAACCCAAGCTGTGCTTAGGGCTAGGTTGAGGGGAAAGGTTCAGATAACGCAAAGGAAAGATTACTAGATTTGGTGAGTAATCACTGTGAGGAAGAAAGGAATAAGTATGCACATGTTAATGAATGCAGGAACTGATTGTCAGGAACTAACTGCATAGTTTGTGTCATCCTAAATACATTTAAGTTTGAAAATGTTTGTATATTCCTATTTTCCCACAGAAACATGATTTTGGTTTGCTTGCTCTGTTAAGTGTGTTTCTCAAATGTTTAATTTTGTTTTATGCACAGGGCATTGTGTTAGATATTTCTGGGGTTAAGCTTTGCTTCAGAGAATAATGTGTCCTTGATATAGAAAGTTTGTTTGTTTTTTTATGCTATTAAAAAGAGAAGGAAAAAATTATTTTTTTTTCATGGAGGAGCTGAGAATAATTTCCAGTGGGATCAATAATTCCACCTATGAGATCCCTTTTGTGAAGGCAGGCTTTCAGTAATTCATCAGTGACTATATTTCCTGAGCTCTGTGAACAGGGTGGGAAAGACCCTTTCCTGGTGGCATTTGCATTCAGTGGGAGAGACAGGTAGGAATGGGCAATTTTCAGTATGGTGTGAGAAGGGGGTTGTATGAGGACAAATATAAGGTGCTTATGAGTCCATGTACTCACTCTGGACTAGGTGTGTGTGGGGGCGGGGAGCAGAGATGGAGAGAGCCATTCAGAAAATGCATCCCTGAAGAAGTGACATCTGAGGGGAAAGACAGGAGAGAACATGAGGAGGAGATGAACATGGCCAGGTAAGCAGGGCTGGTCCTGAAGTTTTGGTAAACTGGAGTAGGGCTTTAGCCTGAGGGCATTGGGACCTGAAGCCATCAAGGACCTGGAAGCAGGGGAATGATAGATTCAGGTTTTTCAAGTTTCTCTCAGACTATTGTTGGGAGTGGGTAATGGAAGGCACAAGACCAGAGGTATGGAGGCCAGGAGGTCAAGAAATTGAAATCACTAAACTGATATGAAATCTCTGAGCCAGGTACCAAATTTTTCATTGAGTCAGGAAGACAGTTGAACAGTGATGAAGAGAAGAGGATGATTGGCCAAATGGTCTGAATCTCAAAGGAATGCTACTTCTTCTTTTTTTTTTTTTTAATTTTTATTATTGGTTGTTCAAAACATTACATAGTTCTTGACATATCATATTTCATACATTTGATTCAACCGATGTGATTCTGCAATCTGTATACGGGGTAAAAATGGGAGTTCATAACCCACAGGAATGCTACTTCTTACCTGTTGGGAGAGTAAAGGATCAGTGGCCAGGCAGATGCCTGCTGTCGGAGCGCTGTGGAAAGAGGAGCCAAGAGGCCTGTAGAGTGTTTTCAGGGAGCCAAGGCCAGGTTTAAAAGGTACCCTTGAAATCTTCTAGAAGGCACTGTCAAAAAGTTAAGGAGGAGGCAGAAGAGTGAATGTGAGAAGAGAAAAGCACAAAGATAGCGTGATAATGAACTACTTAAACTCCAGTGACTGGATTTGTAATACATGTGACTTTCGCATATAGAAAATGTAAACTTGCCTTATTATTGCTTGTTTACCTTATTACACTTAGATTTGAGTTTGATATATTTATGTGAAATAGAAAGCCATATGACAGATTGAAAAAAATTACTTAAGAAAATGACTCTAGTAAGAGATGAGACTGTATTTTTAGACAGTATGTTCGTGGGTTTTGTGTGTTTAATTAAAGCTTTAGCTTTCTCTAGACTTCTTCAGGAGAGGAAAGAAGAGAATGGGACAAAAGAGGAGGACAAGGTATAATACTGGTAAAAAGGAAAAATAAACATCTTTCCCCCTCTCTTACAGGTACCTGTTTTTGTTGTATTTAGGAAGATTCAGTTGCTGGCTTTTTGTAGGTCATTTAATTTGGACTTCTTTTTTTTCTTTTTGTCTGACCAAAAAAAAAAAAAAAAATTCAGACTTAAAATTTCTCCCAATTGTCCTAGGATGCCAGAGAACAAGTGTAGGCCAGTTAGATTGTGATGCTCTGGTTGTTTAGGATCTCTACTTGAGGTGTGCTTGATGAATATTGAAGTGAATATTGGAAAATGCCAGAACATTACAGGACTCTGTCCTTATTCTTTTCCTTTTGAACATGTTTTTAATGATTTGGTGAAGACATAGAACTCATAACTCTTTGTAGCTAGACCTTGAAGGGGTATTGGAATTGTGCTCAACATCCTGTGATGGGAAGCTGGCTACAGTGGCTAATCCAAAAAGTTGTTACATGACCAGAAATCTGGAGGAGGCCTGTCCTGAGAGCTCCAGCTGTGTGATAAGTCCATTGGAGACCTGCTCCATAGTCCTCACCCTAGGGTTTGAATCCTTATATCAAGTTTAGGCAGTAAAGCCTCAAAAACAGAAGTGAATTGTTTTCTGTGTAGAGGTACAGAGATAAGACAGCTGGAGCCTGGAATAGCTGTTTTCAACCATGAAGCCTTTGGACTTTCTGCTGAGGAATTCTCAGATGGCTTGCTCACCTATCATCCAAGATAGCAGCTTGTGGGAGGACAGGATAAAGGGAGGACAGAATAAAGGAAGCGAAGGAGTGTGTGCTAGTTACCTTTTAAGGAGTTTTAAAAGCTGCTGTATAATATTTTTATAGATTTTATTGGCCAGAGCTTAATTACCTGTTTACACCCAAGCTTCAAGGGAGGCTGAGAAATGAACTCTTTATTTCTGGGGCCAAGTATCTAAAATCAGGGTTAACTGGAAGGAGAAGGTAGCCAGCAGTCTTTGCCACATTTTTAAATTGAGTATGGCTTCATCTGTAAGCTTACACCTTAGCTTTGGGCAGGACACAATTAATACTTTAAGGGCACACTGTGTCACCCAGGTCCCTTTTCTTCAAGGGAACAGTGTCTTTCCTGAGAGTCTTCACTTAGTGGCTAAAACTTGCCACCTGATAACCACACAAAAAAAGAAAGTCTGAAATTTTTTAACTGGGTATATTGCCACTGGGAATATCTGTTACAGAGTGATAGTCAAAATATCAAATAATTGCAACAGAGCTCCGTGTGTCCTGTTCTACTTAGAACCTGATTGCAAAAGGGTCACAACAAGATATAATTGCTAGATTCATCGGAAGTAACAGAAAGCCTAACCAGTTTATTTTTATTACCATAAGACATCTTTACCAACATACTTTATTTCATGAGCTTGGTAAAAAATGTTCAATGTCACTGCATATCTCTTGACTTTTCTCTCTTGATCTCAAGATAGCTGCTGAAGCTTCAGCCATTACATCTATATGTAAGACAATAAAAAAGAGGAAGGAGGAAGAAAATATAACTTTACTTTCATTGCATTGGTCAGAACTTTGTCACAAGGCTGTTCCTACCAGCCAGGGTGGTTGGATAAGCAAGTATCTGTGTATATCCAGCCCCTGCACGCCCCTCACCTCCAGTAGAGACTAAAGAGAAAAGGAGGAGAGGGTATTGAATGATCTAACTTATAGTGTCTGTCACAGAATGGATTAAATCCTATGTTTGAGTTTATGAAAGTAACTGATTGTACAGTTAATAGACTTGTCAGTAAAGAAAAAAATATAAACCTTTGCCAACCATTAATTCTGTATGATAGTATGCTGCTACTTAGGAATTAATGTAATTGGTTATAGTGATTAAAAGTGTAATATTTCAGAAGTAACAAGTGGCTCATTGATTATCTATGCCTATCTTAGACTATATTGGAAATAAGGGATTCTGATGTGCCATAAGAAGTGGGAGTACTCAGTGCAGAGAAAAAGTGGGTAGGGAGATGGGGTATTGGCTGAAAAACTCAGCACTTGTCTAGCTGAGTTACTATCAGATTGTGTTACTTCTCATATACAGAGAGGTTCCAAAGATAGAGATAATTTTTACTTAATATAAGATTTCTTTCACTTTTACAAAAGACCATGATTGTAAAATGTCTATAAAGCTTTTTGTGTTAAAGCATCAGTAAAAACAGCCATGGCAAATTGCCACACTTAAGTATTGTCAGTATTAAGTGTTGAGTAGAAGGCAACCTACAGGACTAGGATCATTGTGTTGAGATCTGAGAAAAGGCAGTAGTAAGATGCCTTTGAGAGTCAGTGATACAGATAGTATTTAGGGAATATATATCTGTCATCATATCTTTTATCTAACCTCTTAGAAGATAAGTATTGAGTTATAGCTTAAAGAACTTTGATATTCTTAAAATACTTTCCTTTCAAATGTATTAGTTTTCTATTGCTACAAGACAAATTAATAAAGCAACAAAAACAGCAGACATCTATTTATTATATAGACTCCCAAGTTTCTGAGACTCAGAATTGGGAATGACTTGTCTGGGTGATTTTTTGCTTAGGGCTTCTTGTGAGGTTATATGATCACTGAGAGAATCAGTTCATTTCCAGGCTAATGCATGTAGTTGTTGGCATGCCCAAGGTGCCTACAGCTCTGAGAACCTCCAGTTTTTACCCCATGAACTTTTCCATAGGCTGTTTGGTTCCTCAGCTATGGCATTTTTAAACTATGCCCAGAGAGAGTGAGAGCTCAAGATAGAAACTACAGTCTTTCATAACCTCATCATTTATAGGATGTATTATTACTCCTGCCCCTGCTGTTGGTCACTGAGACCAACCCTACTAATGAGGAAGGGAACAGACAGCATAGGATATGAGTGCCTAGAGGAGGAGATCACTGAGTGCCAGCTACCACCTGAAACAAAGATGCTATCAGAATCCACAGCTAAGGGAAGAATAATTAGTATCTGTATATTTTTAATTTTATGAAGTTTATTTTGGTATATACTGACAAAAAAAATATGAACACTAAATGTAATCTAGCACGAGATACTAGATAAATAACAGTCTTTATATAACTGATTTGGAATGTTTTTCTCATTGTGGAAATAAAATGTATGCTACTTAAGGTTTTCTATTTGTGGATTCCAGGTTGAAGATTCAGTGATAACACCAAGACTTATAGATGCTTGTGACAGATTGCTGCTTATCAACTGTCATCGTAGATTTCTATTTTTCTTAGTTATTTTTCTTTATTTTATACATTCTTCATCTGTTTGGCATTTGTGATGGAAGACTCTCCCTGACAGTCTGCCTTCTACTTTTTTTAATGGAATTTTGTAACTTTATTTTAACAGATAAAAATCTGGATAACGCCGCAGAAGCAGCTGAACAATTTAAATTAATTCAAGCAGCATATGATGTGTTGAGCGACCCTCAGGAAAGAGCATGGTAAGCATCACCTTGTCTTTCCCATCCTCATTTATTTTGTTGGAAGGGATCATCAATATAGGTTTGATTTTTTTTTTTTTTTAATTAATACACTAGATGGTTTCAGTGTGTTCTGAAGCATTTATCAGTTATTCATTATGTAAAATGCAGTATTATGGTAGGAAGGAACTTTGGAGATACTTTTTGCTACTGTCTGGTTTAATAAGTGATTAAACAAAGTTTGGTGATTTTATGTAGTTTAATTTTTTTACTTTAAGTGATTTCTTATTACTTGGTCCCTTTGGTGTATGACAAATTTCCTGATGTCCAACAGGAATAAGACTGACTTGTCCTTAAATTAGGTAGATCTGGGTGGCAAGGAGGATCTCACATTCAAGACCAACCTAGGCAGTAAAGTGAGACTTGTTTCAAATAAACAAAAGCAAGAGTGTTTAATACAAGAATTTTACATAAAATATGTGAAGATATTTGTTAAGTTTCTATATTTATGACAGACACTTTTACTAGATAATTTAATTTCATTTCTAAATAAAAGTTTCTATGTTTGAAAGTTATGAGTTTTCAGATTCTTGATTAACCTTTTACAAGTGGTAAGTTTTAAACCCTGACACACACATGCAAGATCCTGCTGTTACAAAGTGAAGGTGGTGTTTAGTGCTACTGTGTATTGTCTGTGCATTCAGCATTGTGCATAACAGCTGACTCTCAAAGAGAGATTGTGAAGAAAATTCTATAAAATTGTCTTTTATAAGAAAATCAGAGATTCCTAAACTTTTCACTGCCTGAATAATTTGGAGATCTGGCCTTAGAAATTCTGCTTTCCTCTTGGAACTTTTCAGATTCCTCCCTGACTTCCTCTTGTTTAAAGCCTCTTCTCTAGAATTTAGGTTGTTTTCTTGACCCATGAACTTTCATGTCTTTTTACATAAAGCTTCTGCCCGGTAGCTCTCCTATTGCCTTGAGGGAGTACCATATAGTGGCAGGAACCTGATTTGCCCAGTGCAGGAGACCTAGTTTTGAATTCTGATGATACTGTTTGTGGATTTTATGATCATGGACAGTCTTTAATATCACTGAAATTTAGTTTTCCATTGTATTAAACAGTGATGATAGTAACTACCTTTACAGAGTTAATATCAATAGTAATTATGTATGTATAAAGCTCATAGATTTAAGTTTACTTAAACATAAAAAGAGTCTTATCTTGCAATTTGGTAAATTCTCAAATTTACTTATGGACCAAATTGTGTCCAATATTGTCTTTATTTGTACTGTTTCTTTCCTATGCAAATGCAGCTTTCTAGGAGAATCATAGAAATTTACTGGCTTTTTAAATTTCTCTGTTCACATGGGCTAATATTACATAAAGTTAGGAGCTATAGCACAGTTTTTTAAAAGGCTTAAGTCTTTTCATGTTAATATTTCCTTAAAATTGGTTGTATATTGGACACATTGAAATGTATACTGACATTTTAGTTGGTATGTAGTGAGGAGTCCTTTGAATTCTTATTTATTTAGCTTTCACCAACGGTGCCTATTTTTTATTTTTGTATTTTTAAGGTATGATAATCATAGAGAGGCCTTACTTAAAGGAGGGCTTGATGGAGAATACCAAGATGACAGCTTAGATTTGCTTCACTATTTCACTGTTACCTGTTATTCTGGTTATGGAGACGATGAAAAGGTAAGATAAGTGAAAGTCTTAATTTCTTAAGTAAGACTCAAATAGAGAATTCTTAAAAGTATTCTAAAATAAAAAGTGAAGCAGTATTCATTTTGAACCCTTAAAATTCAGTGCCTTCATATTTACATAAAAACTTCCAATTGATACTAAATGTACTGGCATTGACCAGAGCTGAATTCTATAAATTTTCAATGTGAAGAGTTTTTCATCTTACATTTTAAAATATTTCTTTGTGATTAGACTATAAAAATATTAAGTATTTGTGTTTCTGATTTTTTTTTTTTTTAGGGTTTTTACACAGTGTATCGTAGTGTTTTTGAAATGATTGCAAAGGAAGAACTGGAATCTGTGTTAGAGGAGAATGTTGAGGATTTCCCAACTTTTGGAGACTCCCAGAGTGACTATGATACGGTAAAAGACAAGCGCATTGCATTTTATAATTAGCATTTATTACTCTTTTTCCCATTTTCTGATTTTTAAAGAAATGAGTCCTAGTCCTGTGTTATGACGACTTCTCTTATCCTCTCTCCTTTTGAAGGAACATGCTGTTCTCTCAGAGCCACACTCTTTGCTTTTTCTGTAAATGGACCATAATCTTTTTCTTTGGCCAGTAAGATTGTTTTCTTTTTTTCTTAAATCTGTTGAAGAGTAGTTTAAATCCTTAAAAGGATTGTGCATTGATTAGTGGGATTGCTATATATATATATGAAAAAAGAAAGTGGGATGTTTTGGATCATTAATATTTACTGCTTTTTTTAAAAAAAGTAGAATTTACCTATTTTCTTTGTCACTAGGTAGTCCACCCTTTCTACGCTTATTGGCAGAGTTTCTGCACCCAAAAGAATTTTGCTTGGAAGGAAGAATATGATACACGGCAAGCTTCAAACCGCTGGGAAAAACGAGCCATGGAAAAAGAAAACAAAAAGATTCGAGACAAAGCAAGGAAAGAGAAGAATGAGCTTGTTCGGCAGCTGGTAGCTTTCATCCGGAAAAGAGATAAAAGAGTGCAGGCACATCGGAAGCTTGTAGAGGAACAAAATGCAGAGAAGGCAAGGAAGGCTGAGGAGATGAGACGGCAACAGAAACTAAAGCAGGCAAAGTATGTGACTGGCTCCTTTCTCAGTTTTAGGAGGGATAAAGGGCAGCATCAGCAGAGACCAGATTTTGGGTTCTCATGTCATGTTCAGTCATTATTGTGATTTAATCCTGGCATTAGGTAGAATGTTTTCACCCATTATGAAAACATTTTCATTTTAATTTGGGTATTTTTCTTTAGAGGCCCTTTATACTTGAAGTGCTTTATAGATTCTTATAAATATAATAGTAACTAATGTTAATTGAATTCTTACTGTGTGCAAGGCCCTGTTCTGATTGCTTTCCCACCGCAATTCTGTGTAGAATTTTTTTCTTTTTTTTTTTTAATTTTATTTTTTAGTCGTAGTTGGACACAACACCTTTATTTCACTTATTTATATTTTTATGTGGTGCTGAGGATTGAACCCAAAGATCTCGCATGTGCGAGGCGAGCACTCTACCGCTGAACCACAACCGCAGCCCTCTGTGTAGAATTTTTATCCTCTTCATTCTTGTGAAGAAATGAGACAAAAAGCCCAAGGTTACATACCTAGTCAATCACAGAGCTGGGAATAAGATCCAAGTTTACTTTAGGGCCTTGCTTTTAACCACCATGCAACATTGCATTTCTGTTATATCCTGAGATATTAAGTTCTTTTCAGTTTCTTTAAAGTTTTGTTGTTAAGAGTAAACTGTAAACATTTGGGTCCAGAACATTGTAGTATTCTGTTATAAGTCATTCACTTACTAAAAATTCTACTTATTTCACCTGTCATCTTTTGAAGATTGGTATTTTATTTGACACTCAGGACTTAAAGTGATGTGAAGACTTTTTACATGCTGTAAAGATTTATGTTTTAAAACCCATTATAAAGCAATTAAAACCAGCTAGGTGACAGGTTTCAGCGACTTTGCCAGAAATTTAACTTAAGCACAGCGTTTAGGTTTGTAAGCATTACAGCTTGGGAGGAAGAAGGTCTCTATGGGATAGATTTTTAAGCCTAAGAAATGAGTAAAACCCTTGTAGAGATATGCTTGTCAGAGTAAGGCTTTGTTCTGTGAATCTAGACTGGCAGAACAGTACAGAGAACAGAGCTGGATGACCGTGGCTGATTTGGAAAAGGAACTCCGGGAGATGGAAGCACGATATGAAAAGGAGTTTGGAGATGGATCAGATGATAATGAAATGGAGCAGCATGAGCTTAAAGATGGACAAGATGGTAATTTTTATTGACTAACAAATTTTGGGAAATAAATTTTATTGTGTGCAAGGATGTACACTCAGAACACTACAAGTTCCAGTAAAGGGACCCAGGAATTGGACAGTAGGGAAGGGAAAACCCAGAGGATCCTTGAATTCCAGCTGATATTGCCAGCACTGTGCCAGAGTTTTCATTCTTTTGTTTGCTTTCTAAGTAAAGCTGGAAATCTGGACTTTATAGAACATCTCCCAATTTTTAATATAATTTTTTTAATTAAAAATAATTGTATGGGTCTCACATAGGTACTCTATTGAAGCAGTCTAGTTCAGGTAGTTTGTTTATAAGTTATTTTGTCTGTAATCTAAATGACTTCCATTTCTGGCTGCTTAAATGTAATGACAGGTGAGCATATTCAGAAGTGTGACTGACTGGCCTTTCAAAGAAAATGCAGTTAAACAGTAGGTCAAGTTGTAATAGCAGTTATTTCCAGAAAAACGGGCAAAAGTCTATGTATGGTATGTATTAATTATTTCTCTTTCTTCTAACTTTGTAGAAAGGCTCCTCTTAGTGTTCCAGAATAATTTCTGTGCCTCTATCATTAAATCATAAGCAAGTGACTACGCCAAAAGTGAGGTTTTGGCATTTTTGAGAATAGCTGTATATCTGATTTTCCACACTGCCTCTGGCATTTCCATAAATAAAACCAAATTATATAAAAATTATATAATTTATATAAAAATTATATAAACCAAATTATACTAATTTCACATAGCTGTGAATGTGATTTTTTTCTTACTAATAGCCTGAACGATAAAATGACAAATTTTTATTCATTCAAAATAATTAGGAAATGAAATGTTTTATTAGTGAACCAGAAATAGTATGTGAAAAAGTGCTTTGAAAATTATAAAGCACTTTATAAATGTGAAATGTCCTAATTCACAGCTTTATACTTTATAAGGTCATTTTTTTAAATTTTTATATTTTGTTTTTAGTTATACATGACAGAATGTATTTCGACTTATTATACATACATGGAGTATATCTTCCCATTTTTGTAGTTATACAGGATGTGGCGTTACACGGGTTGTGTAGGAAAGTTATATCTGATTCATTCTACTGCCTTTCCTAGTTCCATCCCTCTTCTCTTCCATTCATTTCCCTTTGTCTAATCCAGTGAATTTCTTCTCCCCCGCACACATGCTGATTGTGTGTTAGCATCCACCTATTAGAGAGGAATATTCAGCCTTTGTTTTTTTGTGTTTTTTTTTGAGATTGGCTTATTTCACTTAGCATGATAGTCTCCAGTTCCATCCATTTAACAGCAAATACTATAATTTTCCTTTTATGTACAAGATCTCACTTAATCCTCATGAAGTACCCTTTAAATGTAGATTTTGCCAATGGAATCATATCCATTTTACTGAAGAGGAAAGTAGCAGTCTAAGAGATTGGCATAAACCTGAGATCATAACCCACTTTGAGATGTAGATTTTTTTTTACTTCAAATCCAGCATTCTAAATTAACTGATTAATTAAAGATTATTTCATGTATATGATATTTTGAAAGTACACACATAATTGGAAAATAACACCATGTGCAGTAGGTCCCACTTTGATTTTACCTTCCATTGTTTTAGTTACTTTTGGTCAGCTGTGGTCTGAAAATATTAAATGGAAAATTATATAAATAACTTGCTTTAAATTGTGCATTAATCTCAGTAGTGTGATAACATTTTGCACAACTCTGTCTCACCCCATTTGGAAAGGGAATCATCCCTTTTTCCAGAGTATATACTACTCATAGTCACTTAGTAGCCCTCTAGGTTATCAGATTAACTGTCATGATATCACAGTGCTTTTGGTCAGGTAACCTTTTGTTTTATTTAATAATGATCCCAAAATGCAAGACTAACAATGCTGGCAATTATGATATGCCAAAGAAAAGCCTTAATAAAGTGCTTTCTTTAAATGAAAAGTTGCCTGTAATCCCATTGAAACTCAGAAGGCTGAGGCAGGAGGATCTCAAGTTCAAGGATAGCCTCAGCAACTTAGTGAGGTCTTAAGCAACTTAGTGAGACTCTAGCTCTAAATAAAAAAAAACAGTTGGGGATGTGGTTAGTGGTTAAGTGCTCCTGGCTTCAATCTCTGGTACCTAAATAAATAAACGTAGATAAATAAATAAATAAAATAAAAGGTGGAAGTTTTTGATTTAAGGAAAGGAAAAAAGTCGTGCGGAGATTACTAAGAATTCAATCAAGTAAGAATGAATCTTGTAACTATGAAATTGTGAAGAAGAAAAACAATCCATACTAGTTTTACTATTCAATTTCAAACTGCCAAGTTACAGCCACCGTTTGTGGTAAGTGCTTGGTTAAGGTGGAAAAGGCATTCATTTATATAATTTGGTAGTATCTGTGATTTCAGGTATCCACCAAAGGTTTTGGAATAAATCCTGTGGTTAAGGGGAACTACTGTCCTGGACATTAACCCTAATAGGATGTATTTTGGTATTTGTGACTTCAGTGAGTAGTTCTTCAGACTTATATTAACATTACTTATAAAGAACCAGAATGTAGAATATGAAAGAGATACCTTGGGATCTTTATTGTTGGTAATAATAAATCCCAAATGGCATTAATTTATTTTTTATTTCCTAAAAAGTAGAATATGGGATTGTTGTTGGAAGAATTCCATTTGAGCTCCTTAGTCACTTGGATTTCATGGGATTACAATGATAGTAATTATTCTGTTTTTAATAAAACCTCAAGCTTATAAAAAGAGCTGTAAAGAAAATGTTTAAACTTTTCCATATAATATACTGTTTTAAGACCTGTTCAGTAATAATGGACTGTGGTAAGCTAAGTTTAAGCTTATCAGAGTAGATCACAGTTGTAAAAAACCTGTGTTGAAAAACCTGCTTTGTGGTTGAATATTAAAATGGCGTTTGATGTTCTACACTGAGTTCCCACTTAGGACTTCACAGATTTTCTGAATCTTCTGAGCATACTTATGAAAAGAATGTATAAAATAGGGTGATTTATTTGAAAGTTTTTGTTGCTTTTGAAAGACCAATTCAAGTCCTGTTTTTATTTTTGTTTTAGATTCATTTATCATTTGTTACTTTAGGTTTGTATTCTAACCAAATAGGATTCTTACCATAGGCTTTCCTCTCTTAGGTAAAGATAGTGATGAGGCGGAGGATACTGAGCTTTATGATGACCTTTACTGCCCAGCATGTGACAAATCTTTCAAGACAGAAAAGGCGTAAGTTTAATATCATTGAACTCACCTTTTCTTTTGAGGTAAAATGTAACACTTTGAATGTCCTTAAAAGACTTTGCTTACAGCAGTAGATACTAACCCCTACTGGGAAGGAAGAAGTTTTTGTACCAGTAGTTAAGCCTGTTGTACCAGTTGTCATTCATCTCAACATTCCTATGTAATATCTGCTTTTTAAATACACATGATGTTTCCAGAAAGAAGTTCTGCTTGTTGAGACAAGACATAGTCATACAGTTGAGGAAGCTAGACTGCAATCATCTATCCCCATTATTGGCATCAAATGTCTAACCATTGCTATTCCATGGATGTTAATACCAGCCTAGGAACTTTAAACTTGTCCTGCCAAGAGTCTGTTTACTGAAAGGGAATCACTTCATCTTGTGGGAATAGTGATGAAGAGTGAAACATTAAAAAGGATTCTATCATAAAAGAAGGAGGAGAGTACATGGGAGAAAATGAGAGTCACACCACTAGGGAAAAGAAGCATAACGCCTGAAAGTAAAAGGAGAGTGAAGGATGAGAATGCGGTTGTGGCAGTGTGAACAAGTATTACTGGGTAATGCTAAGGAGAATTGGCAGAATACTAAAAGAAACAGAGGCAGAAAAGTTAAAAACAAGCAAAAAACAAAACAAAATGTAGTAGTGAGAGTTTTTTGGAGTTATTATTTTTTTAATTTGGAAATAATATCACACCCAAAGAAAAGTTCCAAGAATAAAATATGGCATACCCTATTTACTTGTTGCTACTATTTTGCCCCATTTACATGTGCTTCCTCTACTCACATATGCATGTGCACACACACATACAGCTTTTTTCCTATACTGTTTGAAAGCAAGTTTCATATCTACTGCTTTTACCTCTAAATACTTACTGATATAGGAAGAATGAAGATATGTTACGGACATATAACATTGATGAAGTACTTTTATCTAATTTATTGCTTATATTCCAGTTTTGCTAGTTGATTTTTTAATATTCTATATAGCATATTCCCTGCTTCAGTACAGAATCCAAACTAAGATCATACACTTGATTTATTTGTCTCTCTAGTCTTATGTAATCTGTAATAGTTAACTTATCTTTTATGCCATTTATATTTTGGAGGTATAGTACAACTTTAAAATGTTTATTTCTTGAGAGCCAGGCACAGTGGTACATGCCTGTAATCTCAGTGACTTCCAAGATTTGAGGCAGGAGGATTGCAAGATTAAGGCCAGCCCCTGAAATTTAGCAAGGCCCTAAGCAACTTCCCCCGTTTCAAAATTTAAAAAAAAAAAAAAAAATTAAAGGCTGGGAATGTAGCTCAGTGGTTAAGCACCCCTGAGTAAAATCGCCCCCACCCATGGCCCCCAAAAAAGGCTTTTTCTTAAATATATCTTATTTAGGATTTGCTACTTCACAATTAGATCCAGTTGTGCATCCCCAGGTGGATACTTAATAACATTCTTAAGGGTTCATATCTGGGGACACACAAAGTCACCTCTTCATTGGTGATCATATTGATTACCTAATCAAGGTGTTATTCAGTTTTTTCTATTGCAGAATTAGTACTTTTTTCCCTTGCAAAAATTTTCCTTAGAAACATGTTTAATCTGTAGGGAGAAACCCCCACAAATGTAGCATCCATTGACAATTTTCATCTTGCATGAGTTGAGTATCGCTAATCTGAAAATTCAGAATCTGAAATTCTCCCAAATCCTAAACAAAAATTTTGAGTGCAGATATAATGCCCAAAGTAGGAAAATTCTGCACCTCTTTATTGCAACGGACCTAGTCAAAATCAGGCACATTGAATATATTGTATAAAATTACCTCAGACTATTTGTACAAGATGTTTGTGAAACATAGCTGAATTTTGTGTTTAAACTTGGATCCCATTCCCAAGATATCTTATGATAGGATATGTTTATTTTGGATAAGGAATACTCGACCTTTGTAAGTCTTCCTTGTGTTGGTTGCCAAATGATGCTTTTCTGCTCTTTCTGCATTTATTAATCAGCATTTGGTGTTCTCTTGTAAAAACAAGCACCCTCTCTTCCTCCCATTTATCTACCTTATTTATGTATTTATTATTAATTTTCTTTTATTATTGAATTTGTAAATTTTTGTCAATGTGATCACATATTTATAGATGTGCTCAGAATTCCTTCAGGCCAGCTTCTTATGTCTTTTTGACATGACCTTATCATTTTGAGCACTTATTTATAATACAATGATTACATCTTAATGTATCCAAAGGGCTTTGTTCTGAAAGAGAATTTTACTTGGAAGGAAAAGTAGTAATCAAAATTTGGGAAGTCAAAAGTCTGAACAGATGACATGAAGTATTGAGTGACACAGGTGTCCTACTTTCCTCCTCCTTTTTCAGTGCTGGGGTTGGAACCCAGGGTTCTTTGCATACAAGGCAAGCACTATTATTGAATTATATCCCAGGCCTAACTCTCCTACATTCTAGTATATCTAACTCTAATATTTTGAGCTCTGTTTTGTGAAATGTTTTTTAGTTGCCTGTGGATACATTGAAATAGCATTCTGTATAGTTTCAAACATGTGTTTGAACTTAGATTCAGGATAGTAGGAGTGAGAAGGTAGACTCTGCTTGAGAAGGTGAAAACCAGCTGTTGAAAAAGCAAAAGAAAGTAAACTACTTTTGTCCTTCAAGCCTTCATATCACTATTACTCTAGGGGTATTCCTTTTGAAGTTAGAATGTGTATCTTTCCATTTTCAGTGATCCCTGAAAGACTGTAGCAAGGCCTGAAATACAGAAGCCACTTTTAGCAAATACTTAGTGATTAAAAGGAAATTGTGGAGAAAGCTTTAATTTCAAGAATTGAAAAATACACATATGGCAAATATTTTCTCCCTCTGTGGGACTTGCCTTTTTGTTCTCATAGTGTCTTTTGTTCAATGTTTTTTTGTTTTATTTTATTCATAAAAATAATATTTTCTTGAAATAAAGGTACAAAATCATGCATTAAGAGAAAAATAACAAATAGAGAATTTTGCAAGAAAAGAAGGAAAAAAATATATAAAAATCAAAAGGAAGAAAATGAGGGGAGTGCTGAGATCCCAGGGGCCTTAATATCTGGGCAGTCCTGACCAACTTCTGTTGCTCTGTAAAAAAAATTCCAAACATATGGCAATTTCAACTTGGTTGCAATCATCCAGCAACTTCCCTGAGAATATATGAACATTAGTACAGCTACTCATATCAGATTCTTCTTTCAGCATGAAGAATCATGAAAAGTCAAAGAAGCATCGGGAAATGGTTGCCTTGTTAAAACAACAATTGGAGGAAGAAGAAGAAAATTTTTCAGGATCTCATATAGATGAAAATCTATTGAATGCCAATTCCGAGGAAGAAATAGAAGATACACCAAAGCAAAAGTACTTTTTAATATTAAATTTCACTAGATATATTTGTCACATTTAGAGATTATTTAAATGCTATTTTGTCTTAAAAATTTTCTGTTATGCTAATATTTTCTCAGTCCCTTATAGTTGATGGAACTTCATCGGGTTGAAGTGGGTAAAGACATGATGTCAGGTCTAATTTTTACAGAATATGTTATGACAATATTAAAAGCAGTTACATACTTAGGCAACCATTTAACCACTGCTGCTGTTCTCAAAAGTTACAATATGAATATTTTGCTTTTATTTTTAGTGCTTTACAATATTAAATATTTTAAAATATTTCTTTACCACTAATATTTCATTTCAATATTTTCTTCCTTTCACTTGGTGAGTTTTCACAAAGTCAACTGTTTAACATTTTTATGTATGTTTGCTCTTAGGCTTTCTAAAAAACAGAAGAAAAAGAAACAAAAACCGGCACAGGTATGTTGAAAAGGTTTTATTAACATTAAATATCATTTATAAAGTTACAGAACTTTCATTCATTCCATTTAGCTTGTATTAAAGAGAGTAGGTTTATTCCATAATTTTATATTGGTTATCAAATTGATTAAAAGGAAGTGAAAGTATTTTCTTTATCCCTTGCGTCACCCCTTCTATATATGTAACTAAATTGCTATTTTAGGTTTAAATTTTTCATATGTATAACTCTCCTGGTAAGAATTATCCGAGTGCCATATTAAAAAAGTGTGGATACATCTGATGATTGGACTTGATTTCAAGTCAACTAAAATTTAAAGCTAAGAATATCATTGTACTTCTAATTTTATTCTGCTAACAACATCAATGAAATATTGGAGAAGGAACATTTGATTAAAAACTCATAATGATATATTGAGAAAATATTTCTATAACTCAGAAGTTTAAATATTTCACAGTTGGTATTCAGAATCAGTTTATAGTATTATTCTTTAGTATTATGGTGTCATTACACATGCCAAACACAATCTTATGGATGACACTGGAACCTGTAAAAACTGCAAGCTTGTCCATTTTAGTAATGATATTTGGTAGTTCTAAAGCAAATTGGATTGATTTTGTGTCATTTTAATATAACTTAGTTATATTAGTAAGCAGTAAATGTTTTTTAAAAACATTTAGGTAATCTATTAATAATTTCTCATAAGTTTAGATTTGGCTTATTTATCCAAATGGTTATAATAATCTGTTAGGTAGTTTTTATCACTTTCCTATTCCAAAAATGATATATAGTACAAATAAATCACTGTTTAAATTGTAATTTGGAACTTTTTTTGCTTCAGTTATAAAGCAGCATAGCTAATCATATATTCTTTTAATAAATTTACTTGTACCATCATTCACTCAAAGACCCTATAATCACTAGTTTAGAACATTTTCTCTTTTCTTTATATGTGTGAATACCACTAGAATAAGGACAGAATTTATAGCAAAGAAGAATTTATACTTAAAACAAGCCTGTTATAATTCACAGAGAATGGGTTCTATTGTGTTAGTATTTTCTTAATTGACAAAATGCTTCAAATGACTACTCCATTTTTTCCTTCCATAGCTAATATTTCTTTATAGCACCTCTTGTTTACAATTTCTGATTATTTAGGTTCAGATAAGTGTTCTATATGTAGCACTTTTCCTGGTATTTTCTAAGCTCTCTTGAAGTGGAAGGCAGTGTAGAGACATGTACTGATGGACCAAAGAGAAGCAGGCAGCAAGTAGAATTCTGGCACTCCAAATTGGGAAGGTTTTCTGTATGATTAAATAACAGTAAGAACAAAACCAGTTGTATAAACCAAAAAGAGTTATAAAACAAAGCCCTCAAACCTAAAGGACTAAAACTGAATGTAAATAGAAACAAATGATTCTGACAAAAAAGGATTAGTTCAACTTTTCAATGTGGTTGTTAAGTTTTGAATTTTGAACACAAGTACTTTCTAAACTCATGAGATAATAGTCAAAAGATAAAGTTAACTGCAAAGAAACTTAAGTCTTGAATTTAGTTGGGTTTTGGTAGTATTAATAAGGTATTTCTGAAACTCTTTTATATTATAGGACAGAGATAGTGGATAAATATATTATACTGTTAGAAACTAGATTCTTTGTGGTAGAAAAGAAATATAAATTCAAATTAAGGAAAAGAGAGGAAGATTGGAATTAGAGATGTTGGTAGGAGTTCATGATTTAAAACAGCAATGAACTAGAAGTAGTGACATCCCTCCGCAGTGAGCAAAGTTAGCACCCACATCTTGGTTTCTAAGTTCCTTTTCTCTGACAAAGAAAGGCAGGCTTGGTTTTTGGAGAAATGGATGATTCCATGACTGAGATAGGGAAGGTGAGCCTAGAACACTTAACACTAGAAACTAAGGAAGTGCTAAAAAGCTCATAGGGATATGTCATCAGTCCTTAAGACCCTGCTTACAGAACTTGCCAATGTGAGAAAATTTGAGTCATAAAAAGAAATAATGGTGATAGATTTTTACATATTGATTTTATTTAAAAAATTCATGAATCTATATTGAGTTTACAAAAAGGTTGGGAAAATGGAAATGGGAAAACTTTATTATAGAAAAATATGAGCTAGTACAAATTTAAGTGGCATAAGTAATAGAGATAGAAAATCACTGTTCTGTAATCACCAGTATAATAAATGGTTCGGGCAAGAATTATAAAGAGATGCCAAATGTATTGGATGAATGGCTGTTGTAGACGATTTTCATTGTTTTAGTCAGCTTTTTTTTCACTATAACCAAAAAAACCCAGGTAGAAAAATGTAAAGGATGAAAAGTTTAGTTTGGCTCACTTAGAGGAGTTATCCATAGTTTGCCAGCTCTGAGCCTAAGATGAAGTAGAACATTAATGGCAGAAGAGCATGGTGGAGGAAAGCAGCTCAGGACACGGCAACCAACGGCAACCAGGAAGCAGAAAGAAAGAGCTGCTTCGGGGTCAAAATACAAATCCCTGAAGGCTTATCCCGAAGTATTTTCTTGAGCTACACCCTACCTGCCTGCATTTACCACCCAGTTAATCCATATCAGTGGATTAATGCACTGATTAGGTTCCACCTCTTGTTAGATCATGTCACATATGAAAATTCTTGCATTGTCTTACACATGAGCTTTGGTGTAACTAAAATTTGAACACATAACTTCTGAACTCCTTCCTCAAAAGTAAATTATAAGAGTCTGTCCATGCCCCTTTTTTTGTCCATGCCTGTCTCACAATGCAAAATGCATTTAGTCCATTTACAAGCGTTCCCATAGTCTTAACAGTTTCAGCCTTGCCCAGAAGTCCCAGTCCAAAATCTCAGTTGAGACTCAAGGCAAATTCTTGGATGCTTGCGGAGAGCCATAGCCAAGTCAGAATATGGCCCCTGGCATTTTGCCAATAGTATTGGTTGAGAGGCAAGCCATTAAGATGATGCTGGATTGATTCGGTTGTATATTAGACCTTTACTGTCCGCCTTGGCCTGCTACTTTGGAGTTCCCGCACTTCCCCAACCAGTAGGAACTCTCCGGAAATCCCCATGAGAACTCCAGAGTTTTTCAGATTTTTCTGTCTGTTTTCTGCTCTTAATCACAGTAAACTTATCTAAAAAGCTTCTAGCAATATCCATGCCACCACCTGAATGCTGTTCTGCCTTGAAATTTTCTCTGCCAGAATAATTAGCACATCATCTTTAAATTCAGCCTTATAAAAAATCTCAGTACATGGGCAAGGTGTATATAACTTTTTTTGCCCGAACATAACTTGAATGACCTCTGGTTCAATTTTAGAGTCTCTTCTTCTGAGACCCCATGAGCCCAGTCTTTACTGTCCACAGTTCTATGAGCATTATTCTGGTCTTCTCAGCTCCCACTAGAATTGCCCATAAGCCTACTTATAACATTTTAAAACTTTTCCAGCTTCTATATCTAAACTTTTCAAAGTTTCCCCCACCTCACCCCAAAACCAGCTCCAAAGGCTTCTGAACCATGTGGTTGGGTCAGTTATAGTAATGACACTGCTTGTCAGTTACCAAATTCTGTTTTAGTCATCTTTTGAGTAACTGACCAGTATACCCAACAAGAAAAACTGCAAGGAAGAAGACTTTATTTTGGCTCACATTTTCAGAGATTTAGTTCATGGTCAGCCAACTCCATAACTCTGGGCCGGAGGTGAGGCAGAACATCATAGCAGAAGGGCGTGGTGGAGGATAACAGATCAAGAAATGACATCAGGAAGCAGAGAGTTGTATACACCAGAAACAAAATATAAAATCCAAAGTTGTGCCAGCAATAGCCTTCTTCTAACCACTCCATACATGCCTACAGTTACCACCCAGTTAATCAGCATCAGTAGATTAATCCACTGATTAGGTTCCACCTCTCATAACCGAATCATTTCACCTATAAAAATTTTTTTATTGTTACATACATAAGCTCATGGTATAATCTCTAAAGTTAGAATTAGGGATAATATTTACACTTTTAAATGTTTTGTTTTCTAACTATAAAAAATAGTTGCTCATTGCTAATCAGATAGAAAATATGGAAAAATATAAATACTATATACCTCATTAAATTGTGATTGGACATAATATGTAAAATTCTCTCTCCCATTTTTGCTAATGTTTTTTATATAATTAAATGAGTACTTTAGAACGATATTCTAAAGGTCTCTGAAGTGGAGCTACTCCTTGCCTGATGTACCTAGTTCTTCTTTTTAATTCCTGAAATCTACCTACTAGAGTATATGGGGACATTTATCAATTTATTATAACTATAAGAAATCAGTATTAGATATGTTTGTTTTGTAATGGCATGTATATTTTCTCACCTAGAATTATGATGACAATTGTAATGAAAATGGACCTGGAGAAGGAATAAAGGTTGATCCAGAAAATATCAACTTAAATCAAGACAGTGCCAAAGAATTGGAAGATAGTCCCCAAGAAAATGTCAATGTCACAGAAACCATTGAACCTTGTGATGATCCAAAAAGTGAAGCTAAAAGGTAAGTGAGAGTTGCATATTATTTTCTAATTACTGAATTTGATGATAAAGATAACTTTTATATATCAAAATTTTCTTTCCATGAATAAGATAGGTGTAAACTGTACATAACAGTACATAGATATAGAGACAGAGAGAGAGGGAGGGAGGGAGAGAGGGAGGAATGAGTCAGGCTTGTTAGAAACAGAATCCTGTAGTACTGTGGTCACAGACAGTTCAGCAACATGACCAGAAGCACTGATTCAGTTCCAGTTTTCCTTGCACTGCCCTTGTTTTTATTTTGCCCTTGACATTCAAATGAGACCAAGGCTGCCTTTGAGTCTATTCCCCCCCCCCCCATTCCCCTCGAGCATCACCAAGTAAATCTTCATGCTTGGGATAGCATGCTGTGTTCAGCCCCGTGGCATTGTCAGCAGCTTGGGTCTTCCTGCTCAAAGAAACCCTGGAGTCCTGGTGCTACCAGAATTCTCAGTGGTGGATTAGAGGAAAGTCTTTCTCAGGGAAGAGATCTAGTCCTTCTCCTAGCTTCTTGTCTGACTTCCTTGTCCCCATCCTTATCTGTTCCTCTAGAATACAGAGTTGTTTCTTATTCCTTGAGGAAGGATTTAAACAGTAGCCTCAGGTTTTTGTAGCCTCAGGTTTTTGTTCTCTTGAAAAACAGCTAAAGTCTAAGTACAAGAGTAAAGTGGCAGTGTAAGTGAAAAAGCTCAGTGTTGGAGCTGAAGTGATAGGGCAGTGGAATGCACTTAGGGGTGTGGGGAATTCAGGAAGAGTAGTGTGAAAGAGAAACACATGACTGAGGCTCTACGTGTAGAAAAGGAGGACAAGGAACAACACAGCTGGTAGATGCTAGGTGTTTGTTCCTATTTGACAAATGAGAAAAACTGAATCTCAGGTTAACTTGTCCAAAGACAAGAGTTTATAGGTGGAAAAGCTGGCAGTTAATCCCTTTCTGCCTGATTAGTCACTTGAAGGCACCTAGAACATCTGTCTCCATGAGGTTTGAGTGTCTTGTAGGGGATCTTGGGCTGCTTGGTGGGTACAAGGAGTGGGCCATGAAGTAGAGCTGAGAAATGGTAGGTTTGAGATAGATGCATTACCACGCCACCCTTCAACTGGTCTCCTAACTCTGAGACCTTTCTGCAGGGGCTCTGCTGCTTCTCTGCAGTGATGTAGACACTCTGGCTACTTAGTGAAAAGTGCTTCATTAAAAACTGTTTGTATATGGGGGCTGGTCTTGTGGCTCAGCAGTAGAGTGCTTGCCAAGCATGTGTGAGGCCCTGGGTTCCATCCTGAACACTACATAAAAATAAATAAGTAAAATAAAAGTATTGTATCCAACTGTTTAAGATTCATAGAGGAAATTGTGTAGAGAAATATTCAGAGTTCAAGCAGAACAGGAAAACCCTGACTGCTCTGTCAGGCAGTTTCTGGTTTAAAGGGTACAGGGGAAAGCCCACCAGATCAGGACATCATTTGTTAATGAAAGTAAATTTCCTATATGGAGAAAATTTTAATTTTATGAAAAATGCATTATAATGTCTTTATATTGCCATGAAATTATTGAATGATAAGGCTCAAGAACTTGATGTTTTTTGTACAACCGCATTTAATATCATAGATCATCATTACTTCTGACTGGTTATGAAGATGGTTTGCTTTTTATTAAAATACACTGTATAAATATTCAGAGATATTTTAGAGATATTATTTTTGTTTTTGTTTCAACTACTTTAAGTAAATTAATTTTTGTGCCAAATTTGTTATTTAATTTAATCTCTGCAGGTACTTTTTAAAGCTGCTTATTGGCCATGTGAAGATTAAATTAGCCATTAAAATTAATGAACTAACCTTTAAAGTACATCTCATCTTTTGATTGTTCTTGAAGCAAGATGACAATTAAAAAGGGTACATTATTTTGTATTATGCTAAATAATTTATTTTCCAGTGTTCCTAAGCCCAAAGGAAAGAAAACCAAAGATGTGAAAAAATCTGTCAAAATACCTGCTGAACCACAAATACTGGTAGGTCAAAACCATATTCACATTTTTGGTGGGTCTTATTTGAGTAGCATAATGTCCTAAAGATAAAAATGTGTATGGAGTGAATCCTTCCCCAACAATCTGCACCATGTGGATCCATCATGGTTTTGCATGCTGAAGGCAGAATTTATATATCTACTACTATCATTTTTTTCTTCTAAATGAGAAGTACATTAGAAATACTAGATACTAGAATAGTTACTATTTTATATTGTAATCTAAACTCTGTATCAAATTCTGAAGATTAATGATGAAGCATACATAAGTTCTCTAGTTTGTGTGGTGCATGCCATTGAAAATCTCAGAATGCTTAGAGTTGATGGTATTAGTTGATGAGATTTAAATTCCAGGAATATCTGCTTTCAGTGAACCTGTTTTGGTAGCTTTTTTTTTTTTTTAAGTTGTATTTTGAAGATATTTGATGTTTAAACACTGTTCTCAAGTGATAACACTTGTTTTATTTATGTTTTGTTCCCCTTCTCAGAGTGATGTTCTTATCAGCTGTACAACCTGCCATAGTGAATTTCCATCCCGGAATAAACTTTTTGACCATCTGAAAGCTACTGGTCATGCAAGAGCACCTCCATCTTCATCTTTAACCAGTGTAACAAGTAGTCGAAGCAAGAAAGAAAAACGTAAAAACAGATAGAAATTCTGCCAACACACTTTTTTTTTAACTGTCTCTAAATTTTGAAACCAAAAACTGAACTGAAATCATCTAAAGAGTTAAAATTTCAGTGATCTGAAATTTATTGCATTGTGGAAGATTATTTTTTATCTTATAAAGACTTTTTTTTTGTTTAATATATATATTTTTAAACATTTCACTAGTGATTGAATTCTACTTTTGCCATCTGAATTGACTTGAATGTCTCAAAACAGGTAAATATTGTAAAGTATGTACCTTAATTTTTCACGTGAACAGAGATGTACAGGGAGAATTAAATTATTTTAACACAAATGCCCCTTTTTCCTTCATTTTGTAATTTCACACTATGTATTTTTATTTGTTTATTGCTTTTAAGTTTTGATTTGTAATCTGTCAAAAACTCAGATCGTTTAAAAATCACCCTAGGATTCTTTTCCACCTGACACCATGACTCCAGTTCTGACTTTTAAATTATTTTTAAATAAGCATTTGTCAAGTACTCTGTTCTTTTTTTTCCTCAAGGACAATGATAGGTGGGAACTAATTAAACATGTATGATTATATTTCAGGAATAATATCTTAAAGCCTAGTATGGTGGTGGCACACTTGTAATCTCCACTACTCAGGAGACAGAGGCAGGAAGAGGGGTCATAAGTTAAAGGCTAACCTGGGCAATTCACCAAGATCTTCTTGTCTCAAAATGAAATAAAAAGGGCTTTTGATGTAACTTATTAGTAGAGCACTTGCCTAGCATGTGTGAGGCTCTGGGTTCAACCCTTCGTACTGCCAAAAAATAAATAAATAAATAAAGATCAACTTTGGTAATTATCAATAAGATACATTTTTTTTTTGTTTTTTAATTCTGATTTGAATTGTAGAGGTAGAGGCAAATCAATTTAACTGGCACTTTCTCCATAGACATGGTGATGTTTATGAATGTAACAGGTAGCAAGCAGATGTTTCCAAATTTTACTGACTCCTTAACAAAGGATTTGTTCTTCATTGAGTTTCTTTCTTGTTTTTTTTTTTTTTTCATCATTCAATGAAAAGAAGCTTTCTTAATGAAAGATGATTTGATAGGGCAGATACTTGAAAGCCATCTACTCTGTAGCAGTGGTGACTATAAAATCAAAAAGAAGATAGAGAATCATTATAACTGTGTGTGACCAAATACACAATATAAATAAGTGGTGAGTCAAGTTTAGAATAAATACTCCGTTCTTTAAATTGGTCTTGAAAGTAATTTTACATTCACCAGCTTGAAATGTGTATTTTCTGTTTCATGTGATTATTCCTGATCTTATATCTTCAAATCTTCAAATGAAGGAAATGTTAATATGTGTAAGCTCTGAAATACTAAGAGTCCTCAATAGCAAGGTCTTTTCTGATAGCTTTATGTATAGTGTTGGTAATTGATTCTGTTACTGATTTAAAAATATGCATTTTAGTCTTAATTTTTTTCTTTTGTATTTAAAGATTTGGGGTTTTGGTTTGTTTTTTAACCATATTACTTTTCTGTTTTTAACTATTATTATTAATTCCTTGCAATTGTTCTTTCCCCAACTTTCTCCATCTTTCAGGGGCAATACTAGCCAGTTTTGTATATTCTGATCGTTTCCTCCCAGACAGACTTCATTTGAACACTATCTAATAAAGTTGGTCATAATTATGAATAGGAATGTAGGTAAATAGAAGCACATGTAAGTCACATATTATTATATAGTGAAAAAATATAAAGATATTTTAAAGGGCAGAGAGTGGCTTATAAATGTTCTTTAAACCTTCTTTGCTTTCCTCTGTATTGACCATGCTTGTGTTTAATTTGTTTTTGCTTCATGTGAGTATTGATTGGAGTTACTTGTCACTCAGTTTGACCAAAAAAAAAAAAAAATCAACCTTACTTTTCAAAAGATCTTCATCAGTTGTGATTGGAAGTTAGTGATCTTGTCTCTAATCTGATATGTTGATAAATCCTCTTCATTTTTCCTTATTACAACAAATTGCTTAGTATAATAGTATTATCTCCATTCTTCATACAGGATCATTATGAAGGCAAATAAAATAGTATATATGAAAACAATTTTTAAAACAAAAGCGTTTATACAAAATACTGCCCAATTTAAATAAATTAAATCTTTTTTAATTAAAATATTTGCAGATAGAAGTGTGCACATTGAATCATGTGTGCATGCAGTAAAGGAATTTGTTTCCTAAATCTACATCTGAAGAAGAAAACAAGAACATACATATGATGCCAGGGGTAAAATAATATTTTTGGTGAATCAGTGGCAGTTTTTTTTGAGGCAAAATCATATTCTAAAATACAGGAGCACATATTTTGCATTGATCTCATTAAGGATCAGTAGCAACTATCTTGATGTAACTTGGTTCAGATGTGAAGATAACATTGACTCTGGGAGAAGAGAGTTAAGGAAAATCTCTTTTTTCCCCCCTATGAGTCTTCAATGGAGCAAGAGTTTGGGCTTCTATAAAACCCATTTAGACTTTCCCTATTTCAAAATAGGACAATATCCTTTGTAAACAAAGTCAAGAATTAGCCCCCCCCCCAAAAAAAAGTGATTTTGCTAATTCTTGACTTGGGTCACAAAGGAGAAAGAGCTCCACGGTGCATGAATTTGTAGAAGATCTGTCTTATCAGAGTGTGTGTTGATTGCTGGTAGAGCAATATTGGTATTTTTGTGTTGTAATAATACTTACAGGATTTTATCAGAAGATTTCATTTTAAGTCTTCCTCTGCAGAATTTTCAGATGGAAAGCTACTTTAGTATTTGTAGAAATTGTCCCTGAAATTAATTCTTACAGTAAATTTCATTTTAGAGGATCCCCAAACCTTGAGAATGCTGTGTGGTGTGGTACTGATTCTAGCCTAACTTTCAACATAAAGCAATAAATAGAACCTTATGACCCTATGGGCAAATTCCTAAATTCACTTTATTAATAATCTGCAATGTTGAAGTATTTCTACTCATTACAATTAGCCTTTTCTTCATCAGCTAATTTACTTAATGTTTACTTAATGCCAAAATTATAGGCTCTTGGGATTTGTAGAAGGAAAGTAAAAAATGACTGTTAGATCTTTTGCTCCAGAGAAAGCTGAGCTCAGACAGATATGAACTCCACAGCTGGTTAGGGGATGCTGCTTAGCCTCTCAACATAGTAATCCTTTTATCACACTCCAAACTTTGTTAACCTTGGGTAGGGGGTTACTTTTAAGAAGAATCAACTTTTTAGGTATGGTGGCATACACCTGTAATCCCAACAGCTCAGGAGCCTGAGGCTGGAGAATCACAAGTTCAGATCCAGCCTCAGCAACTTAGTGAAGACCTATCTCTAAATCAAATAAAACAGAGTTGGGAATGTGGCTCAGTTGTTAAGCACCCCTGGTTCAATCTCTGGTACCAAAGGGTGGGGGTTGGGGGAAAAGAAGAAAGATAATTTGAGGAATAAAAGGGAGAGGCTTGGATTTGTTAATATGAAAGAATATTATTAAGAGATATTAGAGCAATGTGTGACTGGTGCCTGTGTAGGTCAGCATAATTCTGATGAGAACAGAGAGCCCGGAAACACGTCTATGCATATGTTAAAAATCCCATAATGTAGGATTTTTAACAGATTGTGGGGAGTTATCTTTAGAGTGAAAATATAATATGTACTACTCTACACCCTTTCCAAAATACAAATTACAAGTATAAAAGATCTAAATATGAAAACCAAAACATTTAAATGAGAATATAAATTATCTTTGTGATTTTTGCAGAACAGAGAATTTCTTTAAAATCAGACATGAAAACACAACATTTACAGTAAATAGGATTGTATTATACCTAAAACTTCTGTAGAACAATAGGCACTTAAGTAAAAAGACAAGCTGCTGACTGGAGAAAATGTTTGCAGTACACATAACTGACAAGGTCAGTATCTTGAATACACTGGAAAAACCTGAGAACCTCCTACAAATCAGTGAGAAATGACAGTTGTGTGTTAGAATAGCAGTGCTCACCCATTTTGATCCTGAACCCCTTTACAAATTTATGTATTTGTCTATTATTTAATTATTTAAATAATTAAAGAGACACTAGATTGGGTTCAAGGAACTTGTCCTCCTGCTTTGGCCTTTTGAGTAGCTAGGATTACAGATGTCCATTACAACCTCCCAGTCCCTTTATACTTTAAAAAATTGATAACCCAGAGTTTTTGTATATGTGGATCATATGTGTTAGAATTAAAATTGAGAAATTTTTTAAAAAGTAAAAAATAATACATGCTAAATATAAAGTTTAGTGAGAAGAATACCATTGTTTTACATTTTATAAATATTTTTAATGTTTAACTTAAGAGGGCTGGACTCTCCTACCTGCAGAGCAATCAATCTGTTTCTATATGTTTTAGTTAAATACATGAAGAAGAGAATCTAGCCTTAAATAGCTATGTAATTGGAAAAGGAGGGGCTTTTGCAGACCCTTTGCCAAATGTGTCTCAGAGACCTTGGATCACACTTGGAACTGCTGCATTAGAGAAATGGGTATACTATACAAATGGAAAAAAAGCTTAAATAGTTAAAAACCATGAAAAGAGTAGCATTATCATAATAATCAGGGAAATGTGACTTTATTGTTTCATGCTTTCAGATTGCTAAGATTCTCACAAGATCAAGTGTTGGTGAGAATTTGGAAATGGAAACATTCACTTCATTTGGAGTGAAATTTGTTCAATTTGATGATATCTGAGAAAGTTGATGATGTACACGCCCTATAACCCAGCAATTCTCAGTATGTATTAGAACCCCACTTCTCACAGCATGGTACACTTTGTAAAAAATTCTCAACACCACATAAAAATAAATAAAGATATTGTGTCCAACTACAACTAAAAAATAAATATTAAAAAAAAAAACAGGCCTGGGATTGTGGCTCACCAGTAGAGCGCTTGCCTAGAATGTGTGAGGCACTGGGTTCAATCCTCAGCACCACATAAAAAAGGAAAAAAGTTATCTTAAATAAATGAAAAATAAAAATGCAACTCTCAGTCACTGTCTTGGACCTGCTGAGTCAGATCTGTAGTTACCAAGATATTTCAGGTGACTCAAGCTCATTAAAGCTTGAGAAGCAGAACTTTAGAGAAACCCGTGCAGACGGCCAACAGCAGGATTGTTTGTACCTAGGAAAATGGAAATAACCTAGATGCCTGTTAACAAGAAAATAGATAAATAAATTGTGGCCAATTTATAAGATGGGAAACAATTGACCAGTAAAAATGAATGAATAATATCAAATGTGGATAGTCCTGGGGAAAAAAATTTGACTGAAAATAAGCTGTCAAGGAAGATAAAACTGCCATTTATGCAGTTTTTAGAAATCCTATGTTGATTGTTATTCACATAGAAAAAGCATAGAGGGCTGGGGATGTGGCTCAAGCGGTAGCGCGCTCACCTGGCATGCGTGCGGCCCGGGTTCGATCCTCAGCACCACATACCAACAAAGATGTTGTGTACGCCGAGAACTAAACAATAAATATTAAAAAAAATTCT